GAGCCCCGACTAATCCCGGGGGTGCACAGGCCCTCGGCAAGGAGTTTCCCGCAAGTGCACCACGGTTAATTAAGGTTTTACCCAGTCCGATGGCCCTCAGAAATTGTTTGCACCCAGTGGGTTTCGAACTTGAGACCTTGAAAGGGATCAAACCCCAAGGCTCAAGTCAATTGCCACCAGGCCAACCCCTGAGGGTTAGGGGCCCAAGGTATTTGTGTGGTTATAAAAGCTTCTCATTAAGGGTAGAATTGTAAGTTTAAGCTAAATTGTTTCCAAATTTAGAAAGGGGTCATTCTTTTTGGAACGTACCAAAAAGGAAATAGGTTCACATAAACTGGAACGGAGGGAGTATCATTTATACTTATAAAAATTTATAGGCATATATTTATTATATTAACTTTTGAGTTTTGTTAATTACTTAATTTGAAATTTAATCTAAGTGTAATTACACTTGTGCAACCAAACAGTATACTTGTAATTACAGTGTAATTATACTATGACAAACAAACATGTCGTCGTAATTACACAACTATGTAATTACTAGGGTGTGTAATTACTACCTAGTAATTACACCAATTCTAATTACAGGGTGGCTTTCCAAACAGACTCTTAGTTGAGGGCGATGGTATGAGAATATTAAATATTCAAATTGAAAAGGACCATTTTGCCCAACAGCTATATTTGAAAATTAACCATTGGACCAATGGCCATAATCTGAAAATTGTTTAAAAAATAGTCTAAAAAATTTTGTAGCCGTTGGGCCCATTTGGACCGCGGGCCCGACCTGGCCCATTTGGCCAGGGACCATGAACTAGTGGGCCTGGTCCCGGGCTGGTTCCTCCAAAAAGCATGTTTAGCCCGGCCCGCGGCCCGCAAGACCGGCTCGTTTGGCGCGTTTGCGGCCCGGCCGGCCTTATTTGCACATTAATGGTATCTTGTAAATTCTGACTCTTTAGCCCACATTAGGAGGTTCCTTCAATGCTGCCCTCCATGGGGTCACTTACCTTTTTATCATCAGTTAATATGCCAAGACATTTCAAACTCTTTACAGAATCCAACGATGCTTTGGTTATTTTAAAATATTGATGATAATTTCTTTGTTGCGTAAAAAGACAATTTCTCTTTATTGGCAAAGATGAGAGATACACATTACCTCTTTTTCCGCCTTCTTTTGTGCTTGGAACTCTGCCAGCTAACTCTCGAAAAGAGTATTTGTCTTGAAATGTTGCTGTCAGTAGATTTTAATTTCAACTTTATCAAAAAGTTATGCTGTTTACGCATGTTAATACCTTTGTATTTAGGATTTTACCTCTGTAATCACTTTTTTGTTGAAAATAAGATTTCACAGGACATTTGAATTCTCTTGCTGTGTCTTCTCAAGGGTGGTAGCTTATGCTTAAAAATGGATACCCCCGTTCTCCTCTAGGTAACATGCAGAAAAGAATCCAAAGGAAAAAGAAAAATGCATCCCCATTGAAATTAAATTGAAATATTACTTTAAAATCTTGAAAAATTCTTAAAACATAAGTAAGAGTCACCTTTTCTCAACCAAAAAATATTTAAAAGAATATTTTATTTGTAAAAAAATAGTTTGAGTAATGAAAAGGAGTATTAGTTTCCCTCATCCAGGTTGCCTGAATCTTGTTCCCTCCAAGTAGGGTTGAAAGAACACTGTGAATTGGGTCTTATTATTCTCATTTTCTCGGAGCTTTTCTTTACTGAAAATTATATTTAGGTTAGTTTAACAATATAGAGTGCTTTAGCACTGTTACCTGCCTTGTGTTTGCTTGCTTGCTGGTTTATCCCATACTTTTCCTTCACACTATATACTTGTGTGCTTTTTTTTTTTTTTTTTAAATTGCAATAATATTGTTTATTGAAGACTTCTTATCAAGATGAGGTTGCTTGTAACAAGTTCAAATTATGCACTTTAATTTAGAATTTTGCCGTTAGTACAGTTGACAGTTAGGCCAGTGGATAAGCTTTCAAAAGATTTGCCTGGTGTTGTAACATTATCTTTTAGCACCTAGGGGATAATGCTGTAAATGCTAGTAAAAGTATCTAATGGTTGCTAAAAAGCAAATTGGCCCAGAAAGTATATATGCCATAATAAACTTAACCAGTATTGCAAGGGGAAAATTAAAGAGCAGCAGACAAAGGGTAATAGGAAGATGACTAGTTTTCCGACAATGACATTCTTAACCTCTTGTCGTTTTCTTTTCTCCTTTGTCCTTACTGAAGAAGTTTTGGGGCTGATGTTTTAGAGAATGTGTGAAAATCATTAAAATAGTTCTTGCACAAACGTTCATTCCATGTTTAATCTTAGTGACATGATGCTACATGGATGTTGGGTTGCTGCTTATTGCACGTGCATTATGCAAGTATTTGAATCCTTTGTTGATTTGAAATTATTTTTCCCTGTTCAGATAATCAATCCTGCTGAGACTTTTGGAGATATTGTTATTGATTACCCGTAAGTCATCTGCATTTATGTCTAACTTGTTTCTTGTATAGCAGTATATGTATGAGTACAAATACATTTGTAGATTCCTGTTAACCACACAGCTTTGTCATTATACAGTTATGTAGAGTGTTCCTCAGCTGCAATTCAAGCTTTAACAGCATTTAAGAAATTATACCCTGGTCATCGCAAAGAAGAAGTGGAACGCTGCATTGCTAAAGCTGCTGCCTTCATTGAAAAGATTCAAGAAGCAGATGGCTCCTGGTTAGTTCTTGTTATTCTCGTTTTCTCAACATGCAGTAGAACTGCGAGGGCATCTGGTATCCTTGTACATTGAAACAGTCCATACTTGGTTAATGTCCATAGTTTTCTACTGAAACCATAAGAATTGTATTTAGCGTCTGAACTTCCTTCTTAGGTATGGCTCTTGGGCAGTTTGCTTCACCTATGGCACTTGGTTTGGGGTGCTTGGCTTACTAGCTGCAGGAAGGAACTACACTAATTCTTCCAGCATCCGTAAGGCTTGTGACTTTTTGTTGTCCAAACAAATCTCATCTGGTGGCTGGGGGGAGAGTTACCTGTCTTGTCAAAATAAGGTACTTTATCTCATTTCATTTCATTTACTTCTTATTCTGGTACCTTGCATATCTTTTAATTTTTTCTGTGCATAGTAAAAACTGAACTTGTCCCTCATCATTTATGTTTGAAACATCTAAGTGGTCTTTTAATTTGTGGATTTTGGTGTGGGATAAAAATTGGCAACGTTTTTGGCTGTTTCAGCTAGTTGTGATTGGGTTTGGAATGCAATTGCAATATTATACACCCATAGTAAAAACTGATTGGTCTTTGTGTATTTTGGTGTGAGATGTGTTTGGATAACATTATATCAAAGTTTTAGGTTGTTTTATCTATTTATGACTGGAATTGGGAAGGCAACTGCAATACTATCTCCTTCTCCCCTCCCCCCCAAAAAAAAACAATATCTCTCTCCGCTCCATTGCCTCTTACACCTATTGTTAATTAGAGCTGTTTCATATTGCTCCATAATTTTTCTTCCCTGAATACTTAACCTTTCTTCAAATTCTTTTTTCTTACTGAATTAATGAATTTTACGGCAAAACTTTCATATATTGGTTTCATAAATGTTTTTGAAGAACAATCTGCTTGTTGATATACGTTGATTGTAATAGTAGTTAATTGTTATGGCCTTATAGGTCATTCATTTATTTAAGTTAAGGAAGAGTTATTGGCACCTTTATTCCATTCTAAACCAAATATTGACACGAGTACTACAAACCCATCCATTATCCTTCACAAGCAATCCGCTATCCGTAGAACTATTCAATTCATAGTGCTTTTATTTATTTAAGTCCAAACCTTTTGTGGCCACATGAAAAAAATTGCCCCTTGGACTCACTTTTTATTTAGCAGTACTCACATCTGCCCCTACATGGAATCAGGCAGAGTGCTCCGATCTAGGGACCTGTATGTTGGAAATTCATACAAAATAATGAACGAAATCTTGGGGTAGGAGTATTTTCTTACTGATTTCATATTTATGATGCAGAGACAAAACTTTTGCAAACAGACCAATATGACATAATAAATAAATAGCTAAGTAATTTTTCATACCATCAAGGTGCTTGTCATATCTCATATCAAGGTGCTAAGTAATTTCTCTTCTCTTTTCCTTCTCTTCCAAATAGGTGTATACAAATCTTGAAGGCAACAGATATCATGTTGTAAATACATCATGGGCTATGCTGACTCTAATTGCTGCTGGACAGGTACTAATAAAGTTTTTGACCTAAACATGATTGTGAGAACTTGTAAGTAACATTGAATAGTTAAAATAATATATTCATGTCAAGCTAACAAACAAATAGATATTTTTCATTTTGAAATCCAAGGAGGAAATGAAATGAGCAGTTTGAAACCTTAAGTTGTTGCTTTCTTCTGCCAATGCCCTGTGAAATTTTCTGGAGGGAGATGAAGACCTCATGAATATTTCTATGTACCTTCATGGATGAAAATTAAAAGATGGAGGGACCAAGCTGTGATTTTCTAATTTGTATCCTCAGAAAATTGACTGCATCCCCAATGGTGACTGAGACTTCCAATGACTTGAGACATATTGATTAGTGGTCTGCATGGTCTGGGTCATCCTGCTTTCATGTTTAAAACGGTCACTGCATTGTCTGGTTCATCCTGCTTTCATGTTTTAAAAAATATTTTTAACAGTCTTTCAAAAACTAATGACAAAAACCAAAACGAGAGTGTTAAAGATGAATAGTTCCTGATTTTGGTTCAGTTTTCTGGTCTTAGAAAGTTTTCTTCTTTAAACAACATTTTGGTTAAATAATCAGTAGTAATATTTAACGGGGGAAATAGAAGAAAATAAGTAGAAACAGATAAACCTACACTAAGATGACAATTATAACATGTATAAGATACAATACCTTCAACCACAGAATATTCTAGTAAAAGAAACCCCACAGAGACTAAATTTTTCTCAACAGTAAATACTTTAGAGAAGAAAGTGAAACATAAATACACTATCGAATGAAATTAAGAAATTCCATTGGAACATATATACCGACAATCAGTTTGTTTTAGTGTTCTGCGATATTTAAAACCAACATCAAACCAAATTTTGGCAATTTCCCTTTTTTTAAGACCAAAACTAACCAAATGATTTCTATAATTGTTGGTTTGGTTCAGTCGCTTTTTTCCAAACGCTTTCCCCACTACTAATATTGGCATTCCTCTGAATTATGCTTGATATTTTACCCATCTGTCTTCTCCCTCTCTTTATGGGGGGAGAAGGGAAGGTGTGTGTGTGTGTGTGGG